AGACCTCCCAGGTACCTCCCCTTGCTGGGAATTGAGGGCCTTTACTGCTGGGCTCCAGGTTCCTTGCAGTGGCCTGCAGGCTCAGTGAACCCGAACAGTCCAAGCGAAACCCAAGCAAAGCCACACAGTTTGAAACACTCCTGGAAGAAAAGCCCCTCCGTGGTGTCAGCCTGGTGCTCAGGGGGAGAGGCAGAGCACGGCAAACTTGGCTCTGCTTTACCCCAAGCTTCAGGAAACTCCTTGCAGCGAGGCCAAGAGCTATGTTCATAACAAAACTTAAACCCAAGCAAAATTTATCGCGTTTTGAGTTTCTTCGTGAAAGGTTAGACCAAGTGGGGATGTACTCTGCTGGGATAAAAGAAGAGATGGAGTCTGCCCTTAAAGGCTGATTTCATATTCACTGAAATCACATGCAAAACTCCCAGGGAAGCAAGCCTAAACTTTTAAATACTGCTACAAAAGCAGCTACCACAGTTCTCTGTCATTCTAGTTAACCATCTATAAACAGTTACTCACTTGACCTCTATTTGATCTCTCCCTCTGCCCTCCAAGGAATCTTTCAGGGCCAACATACATTATGGATATGTCTGTGTACATGAATGTTGGAGGCTATTTTACTACTATGAGAACAGATCTCTTGCAATTCTATCTGAAATCTGCTTGTTTGGGGAAATTGTTTTTTCTTTCTACAGACAAATCCAACAAATGACTTCTCTTGGTTTATACTGGTCTGCTGAAAATACTTAATTGCTATTTTTGCCACAGGACCTTTGTAAAGGATGATTTTGGAATCCTGCCATGGCAATAAGAAGAGAAAATAGTCATAGCACTTGAAATGGGAAGGTCAAAGACAGGAGTCAAGAAAGACCTTCAAGCCACACTACAGTTGTCCTTTTCTAGCTGCTGCTTGAATGTGCAGCAAGATGACAAAGTCTTCAAGCTTTCACCTGATTAATAGCCTTGGGGGAAAAACATTCTGTACATTCTGTAGGAACGCTGCAAGAGTAAGACTGCTATATAAAAAAAAGAATTCTTAAGCAAAACAAAAATGACAGTAAGATGGAAGTAAGTTACAGTCATATAGCAACTAAAGGAAGAATTTTATATGGATGGATTGGTTTGGTTGGGTTGGGTTTTATCTTTTTTTTTTAATATGATAAAAAATTTCAGAGTTAAGTTATGAAATAATATAGATACATAAAAATATTGAAGCACTTAAAATCTCCAAGTACTCTTAACTGTGTACACTAAGGATAGAATGCAGTAGCTAGTATCAATTTTAACATTTTAGCATCTTTAATTTCCGTCCTGTCACAGTATCATACAAAAAGGTAATAAGCTGTATAAACATGCTTAAAAAAAAAAAAAAATCTGCATCTAGAGATGATACTAAACTGCTGTAGTCATTATTGTGTGGGCTAGTAGATGCCCAAACAAAGAGGTAAGGTTGATTTTGTATCTTTATTATGCAATCCAACAACCTAATTAAGTACAGATTTCTAAATGTAATTTTCCTTAACTCTAGAACCCAAGGTAATGTATTGTAATGTATTTAACTTGAAATTGTTGAGATGCACTCTTTACCTTAATTCCACTTAAATATAGATCCTATGGCCATCCAAAAAAAGTAGTGCATTTAGTTACAGTTAATAAGTCCAGGAAACTTTAAGGAAGATCTCAGTGAAATTGCATTAGTGAGAACAAGGTGAAAACAAGGTTACTATTTTCCAACTTGAGGACATTCAATTTAATTCTTGACTCACACAAAATTTTCTTAGTTGTGCTGGCCAGAAGTGACTTGTTTTAGACATAATCTATGGGAGTTTGAAACAGCTTCATATAATAATGATTTCATTGCTGTGTTATGCCAGTCTAAAATTCTAAGTAACAGAAATGTTGCCATGTCCTCATTTAAGAGGAAATGTAATTTGATACAAACACACTAAAAATTTGGAATATTTTATTATTAAAAAAGGCTGTTTCAAGCTGTGTTGAAGTCAACAGTAGGTCTATTTAAGGTTTCTGAATTCATCCTTTCTTTGTTAGCATTCAGATAAAAGATTGAATTTACTGGCTATTAGGGAGTTCTGGCTGCAGCTGTTTGGGGGGAGAAGGGGGAGAGGGAGATATTCAGCCGCCCAGATCATCAAGGGGTGTAGGCTGGATTTTTTGAGCATTCAGATAAACACTGGTCAATTCTGTGGGAGTTAACATTAAGTTGAAACGAACTTTTCAAGGAATTTAACATTTGGCAAGTAATTTGATTTTCCTTTTAAATGTTCAATTCGTTCAGATCTCCCCGAGTTCCTAGTTCTAGTTTGGGGCGGGGGTAAACCACGAGACTCCCATTGAGAGGGAGTTTTGATGCTTTGTTTTGTTTTGTTAATTTATGCTGCTTAAACCTTAAGCTCACAAGTTGTTGTATGGTAGGCAGCACTTTCTGCTTGACGGGAGGAAAAACCAAAAATCGTCGTTCATGAGAATGGCTCGGAGTTCACTCAGAAGAGCTCGATTGTTGCCTGGAGACCTCTTCTTCACTCGGGAGGAGCGGGGTGGCGGCGTGAAGCCCGGGGGCAGCGCCGGTGCGGGGCTGGGGCCGTGCGGGGCTGGGGCCGTGCGGGGCTGGGGCCGTGCGGGCTCCGTCCCTCGCTGTCCCCGCGTCCCGCTCTGCTCGGGGCCCCGACCCGACACCTCCGCTCCGCCCGGGACACCGCCGTGCTGAGCCCCGACCCAGCGCCTCCCTCCCCTCCGCCTGGGACACCCCGGGCTGCCCCTGTGCCGCTCCGGGAACCGGCCCTGCCGAAGCAGCCCCGCAGCCGCCTCGGTGCCCGCTCCGTGCCCGGCCGGAGCGCAGCGGGCTGGGCACGCCTGCGGACAGGGACAGACACACGGCGGGGCGGCCTCTGCGCCGAGCTCCCGGGACTTCATCCAGTACCTGGAGCCCCTTCCCTGCCCCGCCGGGATCCCCTGCCGGGCTGGCTGGGCCGGTCGGGAGGCTGTGGAGGGATGGTGGGGCCGGGTGTGGTATCTCTGTCCCCTCCTGTGCCCCTCTCCCCGGGAGACTTGATCTCCCATGCAGAATGGGGAGGGGGCAGACGAGGCGCAGGGGGACCGAGGCATCCTCCTGCCTTGTTGCTGCTCGCTCAGCTATCCCGAGGTGTAGAGGGAGCCCTTTCACCTGCGTGCTGTGACTCTTCGACTCTTCGACTCCCAAGATCTGTCCAGACATTTCCTAGAATCCAACTAGTTTTCACCTTCAGTTACAACACGCCTGCATGTCTAGGGATGCCGAGGGGGAGACTGCTACAAAGATTTGGCTCTGATTTTGTTCCACGTTTATGCAGTCTCTTTGATTAGATCCTTGAGATGTTTCTCTTTGTGGCAATAGCAACAGCAAAGACACGCTGCTGTTTTAAGTGTTTTACTCCAAGTAATTGTGACTCTCAGTGTGGTGTGGACATAACAGCGCCTCTGCTAAGTGCCGTGTGGTTGTCCTTGTGTGCCAGTGGGAGCACTGGTGGGGACAGCAGCACTCCTAGCAGTGTTTGCAATTGCGATGAGCTTCTCCCATCCCTGCAGAGTGTCACAACTGTCACGGCAGCAGCAGCCAGGCTCACAGCACTGGTTACAGCTATTGGTCCTTTCAGTGCACCAAGTTCATCCACTACTGTGCTTCCTCGCCCAAAAGAAAGGAGGGGGTCTGAGAGCAAAATCAGCCTAAATAAATTCAGTGCTCTTTGGTAAGAAGGCACTAAGAAATACAAATAAGTAGATTTAGGGGATGGATGTGTGTCTTTGTCAGGTAGGGTTCCTGTTCATCACCAAGCATCACTGCAAGCATTTCTCCTGCCCTTTAGAAACACAATAATTTCTCAGTGAAACTGCAACAGGTTAGCAAGATGCAACGTTTGGACTCCTGTGTCCAACCTCATGGTCTGTGGCTGAGAGAATTAACAGTTAGCCAGGGTACAAAACAGCCATGCTGGTGCTTTTTTGGTGGCATCGTGACCCTGTCCTTCAAACATCTCCACACAAGGATTAGCTGTGCCCACTGGACCCTGCACTGTAATAAATGCAGACGAGAGGAGTCCAAACTCAATCAAAGCTTCGATGTTTATTTTAAGTTTTTAATGGCAACAAACAGGGTCCTGTGGGCTTGGGCTGCAGACAGCATAAGTCATTTACACTCGACAATGCTGTAATAGCTGAGGGCAAGCGACACCCCTGGGCCTCTGAGCTCTGCAGGGCTACCAGAGCTTTCGGCAGAGGTGCCAGGGAGTCCAGTGGCATCTGCAATACAAAGGAAGTGGAATGTTGGCAGCAAGTGTACTACTGGGGTGATTTAATACAGGGAAGAGGTGGTGTTTAGGGCCAAACACGAAGGGGCAAAAAATGAAAGCCTCTCTCTCCCCCTTTTCTCTCCTCAAATGCCCACATAAACTTCTGCGAAAATTCTTCATATGAGGCGCTGTACGCGATGCCCAGGACGCCAGTGTCAATCTAAATTCTCTCCCACCAGAGTGAAGGGGAAATTTTCTTCTCTCCCCGGTGTGAACACTTAAGGGATGCGTGTGTGGACACTTGAGGGACGTGTCCCATACCGCTATCCCGGTTCCAGCCCCTCTGCTTTAGGAGCCGCCGTGCCGGGGTGGCACAGTTTGGTGGGGAGACAACTTTCTTCTCCCTGGGGCTGGATGGGGCGGCGGTGACACACACCGGTCACGGCCGCAGCCCCGAGCCGCTGGTCCTGGGGGGGCTCGGAGCGCGGAGCTGGGGGGACAGAGGCTGTGCCTGGGGAGAGGCTGACGGAGCGAAGCGAGAAGCCCTCGCTCTTTTGGTTTCTTTCCAACCATTTTTAGCAGAGGAAGGATGTAATAACATGCCACGGGCAATAAATCACAGTCTAGCTACTCCCCCTGGCTCTCCTCCCCCCGCCCCCGGCCCCTCTATAGCGGGAGGGGCGGAGGGGCCGCCAGCAGCAGAGCGCCGCGGCCGCCGGGACGAGCGGAGCAGAGCAGAGCAGAGCAGAGCGGAGCAGAGCAGAGCAGCGCCTGCCGCCTCCTCCAGCCAGCCCAGCATGGAGCTCCGCGCCCTGGCGCTGCTCGCCCTCGCCCTGGCCGTCATCTCCCTCTCGGAGGGTAAGTGGGCTGCGGGGCCGGGAGCGATGGTCCCGCGGAATCCCCCGCTCTTCCCCCTCTCCCCGCAGCTGCACCGCTCTCCCGGCCCGGCTCAGATGCGTCTGGGCAGCCAAAGCGATGGCTGTGCAAAGCTGGAAGCAGGCGGGCTCCCATTCCTCCCTCTCCTCCATCCCTCCCTGGCTTTTTTCAAAAGCTGGCCAAAGCGGTTCTCTCTGCCAAACTCGCCCCAGATTGAAGTCGTCTGGAGGAAGGCTTTCAGCAGCGCTCCGTCTGCAGGGAGGTGGTTTGGCTGCTAAATATGCATATCGACTTTCCCTCTAACAAAAAAACCCCAACCCTAAAAGTTACCAAGAATTAGAAACAGGCGGTTGTTCGGTACCTCTTCTGTCCCCTATCGTGGTCTGTCTTCCCTTAATCGGGATAGAGCTGAGCCAAAGCGGTCACTGGGTAGGAATGTACCGTACCGCACGGGAATGTTTTGGGGTGCAGGGAGCTGCCGTGACGGGAGGTCTGGGGGTCCGGGCTGGCGGCGTGGGGCTCGCAGTCAATCCGACCCGCAGCGCCGAGCTACAGCCCGCTCGCCCCACGCCGTCCCCGCCGTCCCGCGTGTCGCGCCGCAGCCCGGTGCCAGCTCCAGCTGCCCGGGTTACTGTGCCAGCTGTGCTCGTGGAGTCCCCCGCGTTCGGACAGCCCCGGAGAGAGCGGACACCCGCGCTGTCGTGGGGAGCCCTGTGCCCCGGGACTCCGGGCGGGATGGGTTCTGGCTGCCACCTCTGGGCATCCTCCGGACGCTCCTCCTGCGGCTGGCAGAGATTTGCCATCTCTTGTCCCGTCGTCGAATGTCCTCTGGCTGGGTTTTCACACCTCCGCTCTCATTCTGTTCTCCTGTTCTTACCAATGAAACTTGGGTGTTCCCCACCCTGGGAGGTAGAGGATGCCCTCCGGTGCCCTCCTTGTTTAGCTTGAGAGAGTTTAGTTTTCCCCGAAAATTTCCCCGTGCCTTTCCTCACAACAGCCCCGTCCCGCTAGAGCACGGAGCCGGCCCTGCCCCGGAGAGGCTCCAATGTCCCGGACAGGTGGGCTCCAGCCCCCGCCGCGTTCGCCGCATCCACCGCCCCGGGGCTGCGGGATGGGAAGCGACAGCGGCAGGTAGGGGAGGCAGAGCCGGGGGACCACGGGTGGCAGTGCCAGCTCCAGCCCCCGGCTGCCAGTGTGACCAGCTGCCGAGCGGCTTCCCTCGTCTCTGGAGGGAGGAAGGGACAGAGGCTCTCATCCCCCTTACATCCTTACAGCTGCCCAGCTGCAGCCCGGCTTGCCCCCAGCGCGGCTGCTCTCCTTCCCTGACAGCGGGATAAGCGTGTGTCGGGATAAGCGTGTGCCGGGATAAGCGTGTGGGGACCTGGCTGCCTGAGGGAGGAAATGGCTCACAAGGGCTGGAGAGAAACTTGTGTAAGCAAAGTGACCCCACCGTCTTGCGGTGTTTAGAGTGAAGGGTTTTGGCTACTTTGCGTGTCATGAAGTGCTCTCAGCCCTGATCCAGATGAGGGCTCGCAGGGTTGCCTTGTGCTGGGGAGCAGGTGAGCTCTGAATTCTTCTTAGTTACCTGGTAAAGAGGTGTCTGCCTATCCCAGCCTCCCTTTCCAGGGAAATGGAGATGTTCTACACTTTAAAAGTTATCAGTCATCTCCTAATAATGACAAATGCACCCTAGGCTGAACAGAAGTAAAATTATTTCCTCAAATGTTTTGTCTATTTCCATCCTGCTTTCCTGGATATAGATTCCCTCTCTATCCAAGCATCCAGAGCTTCCTAGTCCACACAGCATGTTACTGATAACTGCAGCAGAACTGGGAACTGACTTCTTCCCTCACTGTCCCGTTTCAATGTGGGGAAGGAGAGGCAGATCCCTGTGGGATGAAGTAGGTACTGTCCAGCACTGACAAGTGGCCACTCTGTGAGAGCACTTTGTGTGTGCTTTGTCTCTAGAGAGAATCTGTCAGCAAAAGTAGGTGTTCAGAGCCAACAAAACTCAGCTTGAGTTGGACAACAATAAAACTGTTTATTCTTTAAAAAATTCCAAAACACAAACTTCTAGTCGAGGCCAAAGGAGATGTTCTCTTTTTGTTAGGTTGAAGGAATGGCATTGAGATATCAAACCGGCATCTGGCTCTTCTGTAACTTTTCACTCTATTCGTCCATTTGAACCAAATGTGCCAGACACATAAAAGTCTCAAAAGCTTTGTGTGCCATCAGTTACATGTTTTCATGTAATAAGGCAATTAACAGATTATACTAATTTGCTGTACTGAGGGAATGGCTTCAGCTTGTGCCATGTTTGATAGATGTCAGAGAACTCAGAGTACAAATTGGTAGATTAGAGCTGATTAAGCTGATTAATTAATGTACATGCAACAATATGTTTCAAATTTTGAAAAGAGATACAGAATGGGTTTGTCAGCCTCAGAGTAAGACCAGAAATGTTCCTGTCCTAAATTACAGCCTCCAAACAGCCCCTTCCCTCTCCTACTTTTGGAAGATAGGGGCTCATGTGTTGGAAGATGCCACATGCACCAGGTTTCCCTGGGTTTGAGCCTTGTTGATAGCACGGTGAGACAGGAGTCACTGATTCCCTGTTGGGGATGCAGAGAGCTGACCCAGTGGTGCTCAGTGCCTGCTCCTGATCACCAAGAAAGGCACACAGAAATAAACACCAAAGGGATTCTTGTGCTGGGAGGGGGTTTGTCATTCCACTGCATCTTGGGGTAACAGCACACTGATACTGGGGCTTCCCCTCTTCCTTGCTGTGCTAGATGCCTTTTCTTGGACGGGAAACAACTTTGGGACTTTGTTTAGTCATGGTTAAACTTTCTCTGTTCCTGATTTCAAATGGTATGGGATTGAAAATCCCACCTCGAGTCTGAGGGAGGACAGGATTGCATTATCAAATCCTGGATCTGAACAGTTCATCTCTTGCACGTTGTTTAAGTTAAAGCTGGCTTAAGCTTGGTTGGGACAAGCTTGCAGAGACACTATCCCTGCAGCTGTGCTGAGAGTTGTTCGACTGTATTCAGTTTCAGCCTGCCTTTCCAATACAAATCCACAGATGTGTAGCTGTCAGGCACAGATTTGCAGTGGGAAATCCTAGTGCCTTCCTCACTCCTTTCCACATTAGCACTAGGCAGTCTAATCCATGTTCTAGGGGCTCACTCTGTGGCCCTCCTTCCTCCTTCCCTGCAGATTATTAACTCACAGGTGGAACCACTGTTGGCAGTGGCAGAAAACTGATAGAAAACTCCTTCAGTTTTTTCGATTTATAGCCCAGATTCTGGTGTGAATCAGAAGTTCTGTTCCCACTGATCGGTTCCTCTCCTGTGGGATCTGATTCTGCCTCATCTCTTTGTAGAGACACTGGGAAAAAAGGGGCTTCCCTCCTCAGGACGGGCCAATTTCACCCTGTTGTCTGTGCTTATGCTGTGCTAGAGACAGGCATCGATTAATGTGCAATATATGTAGATCTGCTGCGCTTGAAAACCTGTCTCTTTTCTCACCTTCCTAGACAGCTGTTTAGGAATTCCAAGCCCTTCCCGGCTCTTTATCTCCCCATTTGCCTTGAAAGGGAACTGGGTTTGGATGCTGCAAGTATTCCTGTGTGGCTAAACAAACAGGATGGCGGATTGCCATGTGGGATCTCAAGCCCTGCCAGATATAGATCTGACCATCTACAGCATGAGCCAGATTTTAAGGGTTAGGTGTATGAATTTAATTCCTCCCGGAGGCTGAAAACTGCTCCACTGGGAAATTCTTTAAAATCTTAGGCATCTCTTAGACTTCCAGGCAAGGCTTCTGTGCTTGTATTTTATTGTGCATGGAGCTTTCAGACTTACAGTCCGATGAAGACCTTATTTAGGTGCACTTGATTGTCAGTAATTAAGTTGTCCCATAGAGAAATCGGGCAGCGGAGGCTCTGGTGGGCGCCAGGCTGCTTTCCTCAGTTCTGCATGCATATACATGGCAGATTTTTAGCCTAAGGGGTTAAACTTAATTCTGTCCCTAGTGATAGCAGTGACAGAACTCTCATCCAGCCTGGTGGCCCCTGAATCGTGTATTGGGGACGCCCTGGCTGATAACTGTCTCCTCGATTGCCTTACTTAGCCGCAGGCTAGAAATTCAAAAGACTCGGGGTGTCTGATGTGAAGCCGCTGGGATCTCGCCTCTCCGAGGCAGCCGCACCTCCTGCGCGGGCACCTCTGCTGGGAGCCGGGGCTGCTGCGGCGGGGAGAGGTCAGCCGGGCCTGGGAACGCCTGCGAATCCAGAGCCTTTCTGTAGCCGCTAAGTCCCCTGTGAAAAGCCTGCACCTGAGCCGAGCCGGTTTGATCTGAACTCCCTGGAATTCATCTCTTTCTTCTGGCTACCTTCTAATTTGGCCTCGGGTCAAAATCGTTTGAGTAGAACAACACGGAGGACAAGTGCCCCCTCTCTTGGCCTTTATCTTGTCTAATTACGGGGAGCATCCCTGTACAATAGCAAGGCTCCTTATTCTAATCTCTTCCATTTTACTTATCTCCATCTTCTCTCCCTCTTCTTTTGTCTTCCAAAATCCCACGCACCCTTGTTGAAAGGCCGGGCGCTGAGCTGAATGGATTGTGCTCTGAGCTGTGGGCAAATGCTCTCCCAAAGCTACAGCTTTTCTGCTGCTTTTTTCCCCACCTGCATATTCGGAGGGCGTTTATTTCTGTGAGCCCTGAGCGGTGTTATCTGTGCTGCTGACCGGGAGCCAGAGGTAACCTGTCCTTTTCCTCCCTTTGTCCCGCAGAGAAACCCGTCAGCCTGACTTACCGATGTCCCTGTCGATTCTACGAGAGCAACGTGGCAAGAGCCAATATTAAGCACCTCAAAATCCTCTCCACACCCAACTGCTCACTTCAGATTGTGTAAGTCTCTTGCTCTTTTCAGCTGGGTGCAAATCTGGGCTGTCAGAAAGAAGGGTCACAGAGCTGGTGCCTGCCCTGGTGGTTGAGTTTCAGTCTGCCTCATGCCATGGCTCCCAATTCATCTCTTCACCCCCTGTGTCAGGGACTGCTGGACCCTGCTTTACGCATGTAAAGGAGCCCAGCTGTTGTTTCCCAGCTGTGTTCTCTGTGATGTCCCCATCACTGTGTGATCCCATGTGCTGTTCCCCCATGGGTATGTGAGCAGGAGTGTCAGACAGGCCTTGCACTGCCTTGGATGTGGAGCTTCACACCCAGGGTAAAACCTTCACAGTGGTCTGAGTCTTCTAATGGGTCACTTCTCCACGGAGTGGAGCTAAACAAGCAAAAGGAATTCCTGTGTTTCATGTATCCTCTGCAGGAGGTACAGACCCTGGAAATGTGATGGCTTAATCTAAGGATGCTTGCCAGGCAGGGACTGACTCAGTAAACTGCAGCAGAACAGAAAAATGGGCTCCCAATGGAAAATAGCCTCTTTTTTCTCGAAAAGCAACCCTCATTTTCAAGAAACATTGGGATTTTGTTTGTTCATCTTTGTAGATGTGTATGTATGTGTATGTTTTAGGAAGGTCTTTTTTGTTCACTTCTTCATGGGTGAACATGAAAATTCAAAACCTTCTGAAAACCCTCTCAAAATTCAAAACCTTCTGAAGAAAAAAACTCCCCAGCATTCATCTTTTCATTGCAAGGGAACCTTACTACTCTCAACTTCTGTTAACCTCTATAAGAGGGTGTCACAGACGAGGTTTGGTTTCTGTGCAGTGATCCCATTACTGGTTCTGTCTTTGACCCATATGTTGAGCCCTTCCTCTTGCAACTCAAATGCTGTAAAAATCAATTTTTGTCGTTCAAAACCTTTGCACTCAGAAAACTGATGTGGTTTCATGAGATTGCTCAGGAATGTATGTGAGCCGTTATCCATTCATGAACCAATTTTTATTAGTATGGGGTTTTTTCGGTCTTGAACCACTCTGTGTATATCACACACATTTTATCATGTGCTTCTGCCTTAGGATTTGGTGGAGGACAGTGAGAAAAATGTAAGCCTCAGCTGAGAAATAATTTCCTTTCAGAAAAATGGCAAAACCAGCTGTGACTAACTCTGATCTCTACCTATAAACAATTTTGGCAGCAAGAATGCACTAGTGCATGAATTTGTGCTCTGGGACTGTCAGTGATGTCGTAAGAATCCCAGTGCTAAGGCTTTTTAGATTATCTGGAATTATCTGGACTAGTTTCAAGAAAATGTCAGCATTTAAGACAGGATAGAGTATATATTTATCTCTTAACATAGGATTATAGTAATTAGAGATAAATAAGAGCATGAAATGCAAAACCAGAAACATCTCACATTCTTGCCTATTCCTGACCCAAATGTGTTTGTGTGGGGTACACACAGAACGTATGAACGTATAGTTAACCCTGTTTTTGTTACTTTGACAAGCAAGGTACTTGATACATCCCTCCAAATACCCTTGAAACATGACTTTAAACTAGGTCTTCATCAAAACAGGAGATGTAATAAGTCAAAGCCAACACATGAATTTTTCATCTTGATTAATTTTAAGCATTAAACAACTAAGGTGTAAATAAATTAAAAGCTGCCATTTTCAGGAATAGAGAACTAAGTGAAATATACAGTTGCTAGGAGATATTTTCTGAGTTTATTGTTTGGAATTTTTTTGTTTTAGTTTAGGTTTTTAGTTTTGATTTTGTTTGCTTGTTTGTTTGTTTTTTCACAAGTATATTTTCCTTTTTGGTTAAGGGGAGTTGTACTTGAACAAAAAGCCTAAGAGCAGGCTTTTGTCTTTCACTCTATTGGAAATCATCTCTCCAAATCCAGTGAACTCCTCTACTTCTACAAAGTCCACACTAAATTCCTTGCTTTTCAGTACAGGGAAATGAGCATTTTTAGCAAGCAGACACCTAAACCAGTCCAGGTTAAACACTCCATACAATTTCCTATGTCTCCTCCTTGCACATGGAACAGGGACTCGCAGGCTCAGAAATGAGTGTCTGAAGCAATCAGTGTGTCAGTATGAGGTGAGAGGAATTGTGTTGAATGTGGCTGGAGACTGGTTACGTGTGCTTCTGCTTCTGTACCCTGTGAGGTCAGCTGAAGAATTCCCAGGCATTGCTAACATCAGCAAATCCATTCTTACACACTGTTGGTATCACTTAACTGGAAATGCTCCAGCTTGGCACTGCTGTAAGGGAAATATGAGTCAGGCCCATTCATCTCTGTGCTGGAGCAGGGGTTGCAGGACTGATCCTTGATGTGTTTATGTTACAACTGTGTCGTTGCATAACTTCAGACCAAGGAGCCTTTTTGACCTCTTATTTCTTACACCATCGTTTTATATTCTGCAGATTTCATTTTATAAAGGGAGGAACATTATGGCTTCCACCCAGCAAATGTTTAAACAAGTACTGGACTTCTTCATATGGGCACTTCCTTAAAATTGCTGTTCTCTGCACTTTCCCAAGGCAGAGGCTGGAGCAGCTGGGGCAGAGGCAGGGTGCTGCAGGGAATGTGGGAGATAACAGCTTTTTCCAGGTCCTGAGATCCCTGGAGGGTGAAACCTGTTGATGAAAAGCTATTTGTCCTGTTTCTGAATGAAAGATTCAGAGAGCCCAAGTGTCAAATTCAGAGAGAATTCGAATTAGCTAAAAAATTTGCTGTGGGAAGTGCAGCTTGGACATGCAGGAGAAACCCCTCAGGAGGTTTCTGCCTTTGGTTCCAATGCTGAGTGAATACATGAGGAGAAACTTGCCTCTGGCACTATGGCACTTTCAGTTGTCTTCCTCCCTGCAACCTGTTAATTCAGTCTTGGATAAAACAAAAAGCTAACAAGTGACTACACCCTTTCTTTCAGAACATCCATGAGGTGTCTGTCCTCAAAACATGTGAAACTTCAGTTTGGGGTTGAATTTAAAGAAATCAAAAGCTGTTTTAAATCAATTACTTGCAAAAATTACCTAAATTTACCATGTCAGTATTTCCAAATGAAATTTTTCTGTTGATGACCATGAGCTCTCATTCATGGTCCAGGTATGAATTGGAAGTCTTAGATTCAAATTTTGTGTCTGTTCCACTCTCACATGATTCCCAGTACAGACCACAGGAGCCTGTCAAAGGAGACAGCTGGTTTCTAAGCCAGGGATATTTATAATAGGTGAGGGAGGTCAAGGATGGGAGAAATAATTCACATCTTTAACCAAAAGCAGCACTGGCATCCAAGGAAAATAAGGCACCGTGTGGGGGGGTGGGTGTGGGCTGAGGAATTTGCACACCAGACTCACTCTGACTTTTCTCCTTTGGCAGTGCAAGGCTCAAGAGCAACAGCAAGCAAGTGTGCATTGATCCCAAGTTAAAGTGGATCCAGGAATATCTGGAGAAAGCTTTAAACAAGTAAGGCAAGAGACAAATGGACTTAACAGCTAACATCCTGAATTATTAAAGGGTAGAACATTAAGGGCTGGCTTTTACCATGTGGACAAAGTACTTGTGGAATCAGATATTGTTTCAAAGAAGGGTTTGGAGTTGACATAATTTGTATTAAAACAACAGTTTCTAATATATCCTAGATGTTAAACTAAGAATTTTGCCAGGGTTTGAGGCAAAAATTGTGCTAATGAGTATGTTCTGGGGTCCCGAACTCATCCTCTTTAAAAAAAAAAAAAAAGCTGTTCTCCCAAGGAAAATTCTTCCTTTAATGCCCTTTCTTCTCCAGCCAAACTACAATTTCTTGAGAATCTATATCGTTCCGGTGTCTTTGGAGCCCCTTCTCCATGTTACACTGGGTGTCTGCTTGCACAGGCAGCTGAGGCCTTGGGATTCTTGGTGCTAAAAATTGTTTCTCTGCTGCCCACTGTGAATGCTGTTAAAGCTGGCCATGGCACGATGGGCTACCATGAATAAGTCTTTCCCACAATACCAGGGGAAAGCCAGCCAAACTTGGCAAATTCAGACTTTTTAAACCTGTTTTTATTCCCCTTGAAAATGGTTGATCATGCCTACTTTGTGGTGGACTGAGCCCATCTCTGTTCAATGTTGTGCTGAGCAGAGCAGCACCGAGCACATTTTTGTGCTGAGGAGGAGGACTCCAGCCCTCAGCTGGAATGGTACATACCAAAGGATGGTACAAAGCATTCCCTTGCTTGCCCAGAGCCCTGGGCTGAGCTTGGTCCTGCAGCAACATTTTGGCCAGCTAGCCTGCCTGTGCACTCAGTATCCCTGCCACCCTTCCATCACATCCCCACCCCACGTAACTGCGCTGTAACCCTGCTGAACCCTGTCCCCCCTGCATCTCTAGGGTGAAGGCAGGGCTGGAATTCAATCATTTCCCAAAACAATGTATTACTGGGGAAGGTGTGGCCCCAGGGCAGATGAGGGGCACAGGTACCTGAATGGTCTCTACTGTTTCCTTTGTAAATGTATCTACCAAACAAGGGTCAGAGTTAAAAAAAGAAAAAAAATTCTTTGTCCCCCTGTGTTTTTGCAATAAGCAAGGGGGGAAATGCCACCAGAAGAAGAGAGATTCCTCCATGTGTCCCTTTTGGGGACTGCACTGGGGGCCAAGAGTGAGGAGGAAGAAGGAAGGAAGCCAGCCTAGCTAAGCCAATGTGATTCCAGCCCTGACAGCTCCTCCCATCTCATCTGATCCTCAGTGCCTTCTTTGCTGCCAGCACTCAGCCCTTTTGTCCTCTGGACAAATTCTCTGCAGTGGTAATCCAGGTTAATGCTGCCAGAATGGCTTTGGATTTAGGCACAACTGAACCTAAGAGCAGGATGTGGCCCATACTGAATATCCTAGGGACCTGAGCCACTTGGTTTTACAAACTGGGAAAACCTGCTCAAGTTTCTGTTTACTATCATCCCCAACCTGAGATTTAGGAGGCGTTTTAGAAATCTGCAAGGTTGGGCAAATATGATTATGTGCCTGTCTGACTTAGGGGAGCAACTCAGCTGGAACATGTTCTGCTTTTACTACCACTAGTGAAGATCTGAGACCAGCTCCACTGAAACCAGTGAGTCTGCCTGATCTCCAGCCAGATTCTGGGTTTTCTTTACCAAATATTAATACAGAAGCGATTCTGCCAATTTGGTGGATTCTTCCTGGTTTACATTAAGTAACAAGAGAGAATTTCGTCCCAGCTTTGTGAAATAAGATGACAGAAAGCATATATCTCCATCACCTAATCCTGTAATCATGGCATTATGTTCATTTTCCACCTAGTGATGCTAGTACCAGTGGCATTTTCATGCTCCACAGACAGTCAGGGCTCTGTCTGTAGCATTTTCACAAGGCATGTTTTTGATATATTTTAGTGCACAGCTTTGACTTCTTCAATGAAATGTACTTTGGAATATATTTATAGCGCATCAAACAATTCATATATTTGAATTGGAGCCATATGAATGTTGGTAGTTTAAAACACCGATATCCCTCTAAACTACTAACAGCTTGTAAAATGAATCTATATAGATCTATAAATGTTAATGTAGCTATCAGTTTCAATCAGCCATATATTATATTTTTTCACTTGTACCGAAATTGTATGAAATGTGACATTACCCTATATGCACTAGCAATAAAATGGCTAATTGTTTCATGTTATGAAAACCCAATTGTACATGGGAATTTATTTTTCTGGAATAAAATCAATACGTTTTGTAGAAAGGGCTCTTGTAATTGCTTAAGTAGAATCCAAACAGTGAAGACATCTTAATCTATACCAGTACTTCAATATGAAAATATCTTCAGTGTTATAATCTGCAGCTAAGGGCAAGGAAAAGTTCTTAAAAGAGTAGTCCTATACAGTTTAATATGAAACCAGAAGTGGTTTTTACTAGGGAATTATTTTGCTCACTAATTCCGCTTAGCATTTATTATTGCTTTATATTCATCACATCTCCATATAATATATACATGAGACATCAGTAAAACACATTCAGGCTGTCAGGAATCCAAATTCCTTAACTGGCTTTAAAAATCATTGTGCAGCTGCTGTGGCCAACATCATCCAACATTCATCCACTGTCATGTTAATACAGTCCCACTTCAGAGCTCCCCTCGCTTCAAGATGCCGGAGTCCGTTAAGCTCAGTGGCTACTGCAGGAGAGATTTGATGGATCTGCAGAAGATAACAAACTCACATGGGAAAAATCTTTCCATTAAGCAAGCTGGGAGAAAGGAAAAGAAACTCTGAATGTGTAGGGGCTGGCTGTGTTGGCAGCCAAGCCCTGCTGCTGCCTTCCAAACCCTGGTGTGGCAGCTCTTCCTAATTTCTAACCTAATTTGTAAGTAACAGTTGAAGTACAAGGTGCCAGAAGAACAGACTCCCAATATTCCACCAAGCATGTGCTGGGTCAAGGCCCCACACGAAGGGGGACAATGTGGGTGTTTATTTTTACAGCCTTGTTTTAAGGCACCAAATGCCTTTAACCCCCTCAGAGCAGCCACTGGTTCTTGCTGATGTCAGCAGGAATACTGGGTGGGAAGCCAGAAATGCAGCTCTGCCTCTGCTTCCTCTGTACCTCAGGGGGAGCTTTTTGGATGGTGAGGCTCCTGACTGAGAAGTTCTGGAAGGCATTTGAGGAGGCTTTGGCATTTTGGGTAAAAGGGTTGTTCTGGCCTCAGGGTTTGCAAATGTTCTTCCACCAGGATGCTTTTACTTGTCTGGCATTTCTCTCAGACAGAGGTTATATGAAAGGGGATGTTACATTGCACCCTGCCAGCAAGATACGAAGGGACCATAAGATAAATGTGAATGAGGCCTTTGTATATGGATAATTTATGGCAGTCTTTTTCTTGTATTTTTCTTTTAATTTAGACCACGTCATCGCACTCATAAAAAAAAGCAACAGAAGAAACGGGGCCCACTCTGCCCTTCCCGTGCAACACCACTAAAGTCTCCAGGGAGAAAGAATGGTAGGAGGCATTAGTTTCTGAGCTGGGACACCTCAGGTTGAAGTCCCTGCTCTTCCATTGACCATGTTATGGGACCTTGGGCAAATATATTAGCCTATTCAGACCTCCATTTCCCCCCCATATTTGTTGAGGATAACATCTCTCCCCTTCCACCAAAAGAGTATTATAGAGATGAAACTCTCAAAACAGGGGGAAAGCTTAGCTACAACAGATGTGGGATGATTTTCCCATTTCATAAATGGGAATTATAAAATTTACAAAATTTTACAAATGGGAAAATGGACATACAAAGAGACCAAAATAAACCTGAAGCAAAGACAAAGTCAAAAACAGGGTAAAGGTTTCGGAGCCCTATTTATTTTAGCTCCAATATCAAACTGACAGAGTTAAACTATAACAGCTGTGAATTTGCCACTGGTGTTTTTTAATGAGAAATGCAGCACCACGTGGTGACAGCATGATGTGGTGCATGGGTGACTGGTTGATGCCTTTCTTATGGGAGATGCTAGCAAGCCCTGTGGAATGGTGTTACACATGCCAGTGCTCTGGGTGTCCCAGGTTTTTGTTCCTCACAAGGGTAGTTTGTCCTGCATTTCTGCATCAAGAGATAAAGGGTTACTGCTGTGGGATGTTGGAAAAGATATCTCCAGAGGAGAAGTTTTCCTCATGGTTTAGTCATTGTCTTTGTGCCTAGATGAGTTTTCTGAGGCTGCCTTGACTGGGGGTCACAGTCTCTAGCTGTGGTCACAGAGCCCTAGTTGTCCAGCAGGCATTGGAAGGGGTGTTAGTCAAGATGAGCTGAGACATCAGTATTTGAATAGCTGGTGTTGACTCTCTGCCACTTGTAACTGAGTCTTAGTGACCTCATCTAGGTTGCAAAAGGCCACCAGCCTGGAGCAGGAGCAGGAGTCACTTCAGACAAAACCTGGAGGCCACCAGCACAAAGTGGCTCCTTGTTCTGGGTGAACCACACACACGAGACACTTGCACTTTGCTGTGATGCCTAACCCACACTCTCCTGGGTACCATGCTCACACTGAGCATGGCACACTCCATTTGTCTGCACCCCACCTGAGCTCCCTCCCTCAGCCCTCCAGGGCTGCCAGGCTCACTGTGCACTGCCTGCCTGTCACCTCACCTCACTGGGCAGCTGGTCACCACAAGCTCTGGTGCGGTCCCCAGCTGCTCACTCCAGGTGAGGTGCCCGGGCAGGGAGGCTCAGGGTGGCTCCTGGCTGGCAGAACACTGCCTGCCTCTACTCTCCAGCCACCCCACGGTGGAAGCCAAACAAGACCAGAGCATGGGCTGCCCTCTGCGTTCCTCCATCCTCACAGAGACCTAGCACTCTCTGGAGCTGCAGTCCATAAGCTCCATCAGAGTTGTGGGATAGGAGCAAATAGAGGAGGCATTCCCAGTGCCACTTGCTCTGCTACTGGGGCTGCTCACAAATGATTAATCTCTCCTTTCCCTGCTGTATTTTTTGCCGAGTTTCTTTGCCCACCGACAATTCTCTGCTCTGGCTTTCAAGTCCAGAATAAGCTTTCTAGCCAGCCTTCCTACTGTATTAGTTCTGAACACCTTACTAACTGTGATGAGCACAACCTGCCCAAAATAACACCCATTGCTGGGTTTGCCCTGCTGGGCCCCAGTAGCTCCTTGTGGAGAACTCCCAAAATGTCCAGCAATTACTGGTTGGAGGGGCTGCCTTTGGGTTAGTCCAGACACAGATTTGCTGTTTGACTAGGCCTGATAGCAAAGCTTTTGCAACTGAAATAAACCTTAATAGTGTTTCACTTTCTTCTTCATCAACAGGAGGTTCAAGATGTAAGAGGCAAGCATTGTAAGCCGTCTACAGGATTTCTTACTGTAGGACCCAGAGAGCAGATAACCAGTATTAGGGACTGAATACATTTCACTGCTAACATGCAGCACAAAAGCAACGCTTCACGCATTTCCAAAGGTTTTTTTCTTGGTTCTTTTTGGTGGATTTTTTTTTTGTTTGGTTTTTTTCCCCTTGCACAAATTGGCTTGCTTTCATAGTGCTATTTTTATATAGTAAGATGTAACTATTTGAGAAAAATATGAATTTATAATATGGTTTATTACCTAGCACTGGGGGCAGATACCAATTTAAACTAACCCTGTTATTATGTGGTATTTTATTTCCTTTGTTGTGTAGAGGTCCTGCTTTATTTAACTTTCTTTTGGTTCATGCAAGTCTCCTGGAGTTTTAAACCTAGAAGGACATGAACTGTACAGTGCAATGATGTTGTGTAAGTAGTGGTGGAACTCCTTGCCTCCAGAAGTCATAGAGGCCAAGAACATAGGAAGGCTCAAAAGCATCAGACTGATGACAATAGACAACATTACCCTGGGTGGCATTTACAGATATTTTGGGTGAGTGATTAAACTCAGGGCTACAGGGCTAAAGCCCTTCTCTGAAGATCAGAACCCTTGCTGACAGCTGTGAGCAGCTGGATCAATGCACATCTGGTACTGCAAGGTGCTAATACTTGGTTTGTAGCAGTTGTGTGTGTTAGAAGCCACAACACAGTTCTGATGTCGTCTGGCATTTCCTATGTTCCTGTGTTTCTGATGATAAATTTAGCAAAAAAAAAAAAAAGGAATGGGTTATCAAAGCTCTGACCACAAGATCATGTTGCAAGCTGCTGGAGGAGTCAGATACGCTGCCATGCACCAGGGATCTCTCACCCATCCATAGGAGGGGACTTCAGCTTGCCTGTCTGGCTTTGCACTGAAGCAGGCTGAGATTTATTCACCCTTCACCAGCCATGAACAGTTGTACCTGCCTGAGGGCAGCCACACCCCTGATTGCTCTGGAGATGCCCAGAAGAGGATTTGTGGCCACACCTTGGAGAAGGGAGATGCCTGGGGCAGGAGGGGGTCTGTGCAGTTTGTGGAAGGAGAGGTGTTTCACTGGTGTGGAAATGAAGGCCAGTTCATCAGCTATCAGGGGTTTGCTGGTGAAAAGGATAGCCTCTGGAATGCCCTTTGCAAAGCACAGCCTGTGACAGGCACCACTCCTTGCACTGATCCCCTAAGCCAGAAGTTTCTTCCTCCTTATTCCTTCCTGTATACACAATATCTGCTACGTGGTATGGAGAGACATCTGCAGCACTGCAAGGATCATGTCATGCTGTGCACTGAGATCTGGGGGGAAGCACATTTGTGCAGCACAATGCTTGTGTTTGTATGTATCTGTGTTTGTACTGTCAACAAAAAAGTGTTGTAAGAGTGTCCTTTTTAAGCTGGTTGATTCAAAAGAAATCTTCCCTCTTCCCTGCAGCCTGTGTCAGGAACACTGAGAGGAGTGTTTTACACTCCCTTTTGTGGTAGGCAACTTTAGTGCCACAGAGGCACTTTGGCTATCCAGGGACTCCATTATTTCCATGTGGATTCAGGTAAAAATCGTGTCTTTTCCTTTCTGCAAAACAGGGCTAATGCAGAGAGGCCTTCAGCTGGGAACAACACACCTCATTTGCTTTAAAGCAGAAACAAACTGCTGTGCCTAAAATATTTGTGTTTGTGCTTTTGACATTCCTTTTGTTATCATTACCAGCCTGGTGCTTTAAGTATATTGTGTCTGTGTTTTGAAAGGTCTGGTACCACTGTACTTAATGAGATTGAAGTTTTGATATAGTATCAGTAGGATCAGATCCTCTCCTGGAAAGAGAAAGAAAGAAAGAAATTAATTTTATGAGAAAAGCAGAGTTTTTCTATGTTCCCTGGGCTGTATTTGATATCCTAGGCTCCATTCCCTGTCCCACAAACCACCTGCATTTGCCAGTGGTTTGCCAGAGGTGGACATGTGAGTGTCCAAGCCAAGAATAACTGCAGAAAAAGTCACCCAGGAAAGAGCATCCTTCACACACAACTTCTGTCAAAGGACAGCCTGAGGTCTGATTGATCCCCATTGCAGTAAATGGAGAATTAAATAATCCTCTGATTTTGATTCAGCAGCATGCCCTGTTCATTATGATTGGGGCCATGACCATTTTGTTTCCAGGGAAAGCTTTGGCATTCTGGTGAGAAGGTGGGTGAGAAGGTGGGCTAGGTAGATGTGACTGCACAGCCCTGCCAGTGCTCTGCTGCAGTCCTGATTACCAGGGAGTGCATCTGGGTCAACACCAGCAGGGACAGGTCACTGGGAACGTGCCAACCCCACATGAGTGCTGTGACAGGACCACTGAGATGGGCAGTACTGGAGCACCTGGCCAAACCCAGGCTCTGGATGGTATAGCTAGGTAGTGGAGGTACTGCAGCAAAGGGGGGCTCCTGTCAGCTTCTCCTCTAGGGGCTGCAGGGCTAGACCCTGCTAAAGCAAGGGCATTTGTTCCTGGGAAAAAGGCATGAGGGGCAGCAGGAGGAAAATGCAGTCCATGGAAGGCAAGGGACCTTGCACAGCCAGGTGTTTGTGTGGGGCTTTGGGGCTGTCTGCCCCAACCTCACACACAGAGACTGGGCCCTGACACCTCTGTGCTGCTGATGCGTCACTGCTCCTGCATCTGAGCCCACTCAGGGCACAGGGCTGCGCTCAGGGGCCAGCAGTGTGACCCTCCTCGCCTGGGTAAGGTTGAGCACAGCATGAATGCAGAGGCGACACAGACCTGGCCAGAGACTTAAGTGAGAACGTTTTAAAAGCTTTCTCTTGCTTTGGACCAAATTCAGCCTTGAGTGGGAAGCTTTGCTGTTGGCCTGACTCTGTTTGCATGATGCACTGCGGAGAGCAGCTTTGCTCTTGGCACCAGAAGGATCAATCTCTGGGCTGCCCAGTGCTTCACATTTGTCCTGTCCATGCCACGACCAGAGCAGGCTGAGGAGCAGCACTGGCAGCATCTCACCTGGGGAGAGCACTTGGTGTTCCCTCCTGCCTTAAACTGTAGACCAAAGACAGAGTCAGGGGAAGGAAGCGTGAGGAGATGGGGACCAAATGTGAACAGGAGGGACAAGAGGTAACACTGAACCATGCTGAAAAAGCAGCTTCCATGAATGTGAAATCATCATGTGGGTATTTTCAATGTGCAGCTGTCAAATCCCAGTTCTAAGAGTAGATGGTATTTATTGCTGTGTCAGTTTTTTATTTATACTAGCTTTATACTTTTATGTATGAATATCTTATCTGAATTCTGCCTGAGGAAGAATGAAATGAAGGGTGATTTTGATGTGTTTTTGATTAGGGTGTTTGAGCAAAGGTGTCTGTTTATTTTGCAATGAAAGCTTTTTTAAAAAGTTAAATATACACATTTTGTCGAAAATGCAGCTCCTATAGAAGTTTTTGTTGCCAATTTCCCTTTATTAGCCTCTAAAAGGTCCTTTTCTCTGGCAACTTGTTTTGAGTGATGTGATTTATAGCAGTCAAGGTTTTTTGCAAACTCATCACCTCAAATTTGATTTTTTTTTCTTAACATCCCACCAAGATAATTGTTGTCTGAAAACACAAAACTTTGGTTGCCACAGAGAAGAAAACATGTATCATGACAAAAGGGCTGCATGGACCTCCCATCCTTCATTCCTTAAGAACTCTGTGTTGTCAGAATGCGGTAAATACTGTACTTTATATTTTTATTAAGTAAAAAGAAGTATCTTCCCAAATAATGTGAAAAGGGTTTTGTATTTGTGTTCCTGTAAGGCAGCTTTTATGGAGGAGTTCTATTACGCTTTTGAAATTACTCCTTTCATAGAAAATTTTGAAAAGAAACACTTTTATATTGTTGTAATTTCTCACATAAATGTGTATGCACTTAAAATTTTCTTAATAAAAATATATGTCTGAATAAAGTTTTTGCTTGATTCTATTTTTTTTTTCTCCTCACAAACAAACAGCTACAATCTTCACTCAGAAAAACATTCAGGTGTGGTTTGTGTCCAGTTTCAAGGATGCCTCCATATTGCCCCAATGCCCAGACTCTCTGCAGGGAACCTGAGCTGAATGGTCCATGGATCTGGCAGGGAGCAGCAGCTCAGCAAATTGAAATGTGCCATCTTCAAAAGGAAACCCTTAACCATTTGCTCCCAAAACAGAAACCCAAACTTTTTTTTTTTTTGATTTTTTACTCTTTTCTTCCCCAAACTTGTATCCTGCAGCAGTTTGACTTCAGTGGAACTGAGAGCTGCGAGCTGGTTTTGTTCCAGCAACAGAGATGCCATCATCATCATCTGTGCTGAGGGTGGGGATGAAGGTTTCTCTGAAAAGCATGAGGGGTAACAGGGAATGCATTGGACAAGAGCAGATGTGAACAACCCTGTCCTGGGGGCTGCTTTTCCCAGGGCACAGCAGGGTCAATATTCAGTTTGGAGAGAAAAAAAAAATTAGAGGCACGTAGAACTGACCTGAGGACCTGCAGGTATAATCCTAACTTGGATGAGGTTGTAGGGGAAGCGCTGTGGGTTTCAAAACCATGAGTTGAAAACTGGCCTTTGTTCAGTGCATCTCCCCAAGTTCTCATGGCAAGGGGAAGCTGTTCCCTGAGGTCACCCTGCCCCTCCACACTGCCCTGCTCACACCTACTGCAACACAGGTGAATCCCAGCACTGTGTACAGCTCTGGCTGGAGCAAAGCTCAGAGACACCTTAATAGAACAGTGAAACAGTGCTTGAGCTGTTCCGAGCTTCTTGCTTAATAAATATTTCTTGTTCAAATTGATGCAAGGCAAAAGGCATGCAAAAAAGGGAAAGAGGAAACTCAGATGACTGATGACCCCCTTGCAAATCCATCAATTATTTACTAAGACATTTATGAAAAACTAGTAGGTAATTGTGAGTGCAGATGGTCAGTGAGAGATTCCCTGGCCACTCACTGCGAAATGCATTGGGAGTAATTAGCTACAAAATTCCACATTAATATTAAAGCATAGGCCACGTGTTCTGTGGAGCACTTTGCTGTGCCTTTCATCAGGTCTTTTCTCTCAAATGTGAAAGTTTTGGTTCTTGCTCCCTCAGCAAAGCATCATGGCAATGTGTCTGTGAACTGCCTAAGAACTGGAGGAGAGCCCACCTTATTAGCACATCTGGCTCTCTTCACAGGCAGCTTTCCAATATTAGCAAGCTGAAGGAAATCAGCTGCATTCACGGCCTCAGCCATCCTGACACTAATTATGGGCTGGATTGATTAGGTCCTGGCATGCTACAGATCAGGGGACAGCATGGTAAATGCTTCCTAGGACCACTGAGGATGTCACCACTGAGGATGTTACCTCGGATGATACATGATGAGGGTCACACCTAGCTTCTAGTGAGCATTTCCCTGTTTTATAAAGCTACTTGCTCTCAAGTTGTCCCAAGGGTCTTTCAGACTAAACAAATATGTAGCATTGAGACTAGCAAAGGCAAAATGAAAAAAAAAAAACAAAACCAGAACCCCCAAGATCTAGAAGCTGCAGCCAGAGAAATTCAAACTGAAAACAGATTTTTAAGTGTGGAATTGATTAGCCTTTGGAACACCTTCCCCAAGAGAGGGGGAAGGAAAGCCCTGATCCTTCCTATGCCTTCCTAGCAGGGCTGAAGGCCATGGTGGTGTTAGCCATACATACCTTGCTGGGCTCTCAGGGGACAGGGGGTGAGCACCTCTTGCCCCTGTTACCAGTAGGGTCAGACAGGAGGAGCTGAAGATCCCTCTGGCCTCAGGAATCCATATGCAGAAAGCCCCAGTTGCAGGGGAGCATTCCTCAGCCTGTGTTATTAACAACACCTGCATATCATCAGCCATCCCAGCTCCTTGGACCAAGGCTGAGGACGACTCCAGCTGTTACACAGGAGACAGATCTGGGGTAAGAGGCTTCTATTTCTGGTCATGAAGGTTGCCCTCCAGCTGCAGGGGAAGAGGCATGGCAGTGAGAAAAGTCTGCAGCCCTGTCCTGGGTCCTGCATCCACCAGCTTTGGGAGGAGAGGTTTGCTCACATAGGTGCCCTCTGGATCACACTGCTTACACAGGT